TACGTCTTCCTGGTTCTCTTGCTGTCTTGGCATCTTCTGTAAAGAGAAGTTACATAGAAAAAGCTGTGGGTTGCCTTTTACTAACAAAGGTAGAGAGACTCTGAAAGGTAAATTTTCTGAAATTGTACCTCACTCCAGCAGCTTCTGGAGCTCTCTGGAGGGATCATCAGCTGATAACATAATTCTACTTTTCCAACTAGATTTAACAAACAAACTCAAACTGCCAACGTAATTCAAGTGGCATTTTATTTCCTCTTATTCCTTCTCCCCTTTCTCTAACACATTTTACTAGCAACTTCAGTATGAAAATAGTAAGTATCTTTGTTACTGAGATTTTCATCAGTTTCTGCTACTTCATGAGGTTATGCATGAAGCCATTATCCTTTTGTCTTCTGAAATAATAATAATTATTTCCATAGCAACAAATTTTAGCATCAGAAACTGAGCTAATGACTTAAGGTGAGGAATAAATAACAGGAGCCAGTGAACAATGTACTTCTCCAAAAGCAGTGAAAGCCAAACTGGGGAGCACGATTCAGTGATGAAGCAGAATCCTTCTTAAATAGAAATTTCAGGGTGTTTTTCCCATGACTCATCAGTGACTTTAAATGTAGTTCCTGTTGGCAATAAATTTACAGTTTTTGGTCTGAATGCTGCCAAAAAGGAAACAAATAACTTTCCAAAATTAAATGTATGTGGTTCAAGATGGGAACAAAGCATGAAAAGCAGAGGCCTTGCTGGTGACTGTTGACACCAGGCTGTGAAGTTATACCCTGATCACAGGTATATGCAGAAGTCAGCAAGAACATAGCGGCCTCATCTGGGAAAGTGTGAACTTCTCTTCCTCTCTCCTCCCAAGCGACATTTCTGGAGTCTCACAGCTTTAACTGTAAAGAATTGCATCCATGTCTTTGGGTTACAAACAAGTCCCCAAAAGTGGAAAAATTGAATCTTAGTGGAACAAGCACCTGGCAAAGCCTCAAGGGATCTGAGGCTTTTTAAATTTTTTTCTTCTTTTTCTCCCATTAATGAGTTTGGTGGTTTAGGAAAACTAACTTAACCTTCAGTCAGTTCAGTTCGGTTCAGTTGCTCAGTCGTGTCCGACCTTATTAGGCTGTAATTTCTTGTAAGTTGAGCCAGGCAGTCTCTACTTGTGCTTCTTCACAGCTTGATTGCTCTATGAATTTCTGTCCTGTTCCTTGTTCATCACTCTACATCATGCAGGAGAATCTTGATCCAGTTGATTTCTTGCTTTTCGCCCTTTTCCCAATTATTGGCTCTTTGGAGAGTCTCCTTACCAATTAGGAAGAACAGCTGAACAGATATATTTTAAATCTGGATTGTCTATGATTTGGCAGTAGAAACGGCTAATTATTAATGAAAACAGATGCTTTCCCTTCCACTGTGTAGAGTTGATCAGTGCCCGTGCTCCCAAGTGAGGCTCTGTGACTCACTTCTGCTGCTAGGACATTAGAGGAGTTGCTGGGCGTCACTGTCGAGCCAAGGTGGACGGGAAGCAGAGTGCCGCCTCTGTGTTGCCCCCCTCTTTGGCTTGCTGGATACCTGCGCCCAGAGCAACCTTGGGAGCCCAAGTGGAGAACAGCTGAACCTCTGTCAGCCTGGGTTCCTGAACGACTGAGCGGAATGGAGCATGATGCACACCAGGAAAATCATAGTTTTCTACTGTTTTTAAAAAACTTTTATTTTACTTCAACTTTATTTTTAAAATGTATATTTATTTAATATTTTTGGCTGCACTGGGTCTTTGCCGCTATGCACAGACTCTTTCTAATTGCAGGGAGGGGGCTACTCTGTTGTGGCGCTTGGGCCTCTCTGCGGTGGCTTCCCTTGGGGACCACAGGCCCTAGGCACATGGGCCTCAGTAGTCGTGGCTCATGGATTCTGGAGCCCGAGCTTAATATTTGTGGCACACAGGCTTAGTTTCTCTGAGGCGTGTGGAATCTTCACGGACCAGGGATCAAACCCATATCCCCTGCATTGGTATGTGGGTTCTTATCCGATGTACCACCAGGAAAGTCCTCTACTGTTTTAAGCTATGAATATTGAGGGTTTTATTTCTCACAATTACTACTGTCACCATGACCACTATAATTTGAAACATCAAATTCTTCTTCTCAACAGCTCTTGAGATAAGCCTATCTTCCCAAAGGTGAAATGCTACCATGATGATCTGATGAAATTGTCTAAGAGGGTTTACTAATAGAACATTTTATGATTGAAGGTTGGGGAGCAGTGACTCACTTCCTGGGGATATGCAGTTAGATTCCTTGAGATGGGTATAGGAATGTGATGGTAGTTTAGGAGGTGAAAGACATTTAATTGCACCAGAAAGTACCTCCCATCCCCACTACCACCAGAGAAGGCAGAGTCTGAATTGTAATGATACGTGGGTAACCATGGACACCAGAAGTTGACAGACTTTGAATGAACTGCCAGAACCTGGGGCTATCTCTGTTTTTTAGACTCTATAAGCACTACAGTTTTTCTGTTGTAAAATTTTTGATCCTTTCTTATAAGGCATCACTGACACCTGATTGATCTTGTTCTTCTTGTCAACCTTGGCCACTTGGAGCTTGACCTGGGTTTAATTTGATTCAGGAAAAGAAAGAAATGTGACATTTCATGTACTCTGGTGTTATTGGCACCAGTTATAAATGGGCTGATAATCCCCCATGGATGCTGTATAAAGGTAGATGTATAATGCATGGTATTCAATGGCAGAAAGCTGTAGTGTGCAAGGTAGCTTAAGTGTCTAAGCAAACACTGTCACTGTTGTTTTGTGGATTAGCTGAAAAAGTGAAAGTGAAAGTCTCTCAGTCATGTCCAACTCTTTGAGACCCCATGGACTGTCCATGGAATTCTTCAGGCCAGAATACTGGAGTGGGTAGCCATTCCCTTCTCCAGGGGATCTTCCCAACCCAGGAATTGAACCCAGGTCTCCCACATTGCAGATGGATTCTTTACCAGCTGAGCCACAGAGGATTAGCTGAGAAAACATTAAAATCCATATATATGATGCTTATGTTACTTTATCTCCAAATCATTAGCTCCATTTAGTATATGCTGTAGATTGCAAACCCATTTTAACATTAGTTTAAGAAATCCATGGGGTTGCAAAGAGTCAGACATAACTGAGTGACTGAACTGAAGAAAAATAGAATTAATAAAATAAATTGACTGATACTGTATGAGAACAAAGGTTGCACAATACTCACTAAATCTGACAGAAATACCTTTCAAGGCTACTCATATTCCTACTACCATCTCAGCTTGCCTAACTAGGCATCAACTATACTTAGAAAATATTTTTTGCAAAAAATTAGACAAATATGCATTTTAGGTGTTAAATAGGAAAATGAACATTCTGAGACTCAGCTATCTGAGTAGACAGTGTTGATGAAAAGAAAAGCTATTATGCTGGAAGAAGGAGGTATCAGGCTAATCAATAGGGAAAAGAGTGTAAAGTTAGTGGATTTAGGGATCATGGTATGGATGCTATGATCTTATATATGAAAAAATATTCAAGGAGAGAAAGCAGGTGTAATGGTTTGCTTGCTTTCTTTTTTTTGGCAGTACAATTTTTTAATAAAGATAATTACAAAAGATGGAAAAATCAGCTCAGAAAGGCCAGTTACTTCTTTAATAGATCAGTTTTTTGACATAATAACACATCAATTTTAAATACTGTCACGTAAAGCATGGTGGAGAAAAGAAATTTTGCTTCATAATTAGAAAACTCACAATAAAACTTGCCAAGGAAACAAAAACAAAAACAAAAGCCATTTTGAAAATAAATACAGTCCATGCCAAAGTAGTATAAAATGAAGCCAGAAGTCTTCAAAAAGAACATTTTTCTTCCCAATATTTGCTCACTTTTTTATGGTTTCTCAAAGTGGTGAGACTCAAATTCAAGGATTGCTGAGCTGTTCTGATTTGGCTCCTTTGGTATTTGTTTTTTCACCACTATAATCCTTGGATTTATCTTCCTCCTTAACATTTGCTTTTTTGTCCTCCATTTCCTTCTTCAATTCTAGCTTTTTTTGCTCCTTTCTTGTGATCAGCCACACTTCTACAACCACCTTCCCCTTCGTCCTCAGAATCTGAGAACTCTTCATCACAAGCTATTTGTTTGTCTGATGCTCGAATAGAAATTCTCTTGTCTGGATCTTCTCCATCTTCATCTCCACTATCTTCATGAACTGCATCTTCTGGAACAGCTTGCATCTGGACACCAGGTGCATGAGGCAACATGCGTAAATTTTCAAATAAACGCTGTTTTATCTTTTCCATATATTCTGGAGTGTTCTGGTTTGTCATGTTTGAAGGACTAATACGCAGTTTGAAGTCCGGTCCAAAATACTCAAAATAATCATTATATGGCAATTTGTTGGGAACCTCACAGTCAAGGGCAACTGCAGTCTCATATGTCCCAACACCGAGCAACGTTGCGGATTGTGTATCCACCTCCCCCAAACATCGGTAATGGTAAATTGAAAGTTTTTACAACTTCTACACATTTATCATGACCTTTAACTGTCAAATTGAAGCAACCAAGTCTATCACCAGGTAGTGAGTCTGCACCACACTGTAGCACCACAGCACTAGGCTGATACATCTCTATCACTTTTGAAATAATAGGCTTAAATGTCTGGCCATATGATTCATTATCTATACCATCTCTCACTGGAAAATTGACAGCATAGTATTGGCCTTTTCCTGCACAAATATCCTGTAAGTCTCTTGTTCCAGGAAAGTATTCCCCATATTTATGGAACGATACAGTCATTACATGATCTGTTGTATAAAAAGCCTCCTCAACACCATCACCATGATGGATATCAATATATAAGACTCTCTGATGATACTTTAATAATTCAAGGATGGCAAGCACAATATCATTAACATAACAGAATCCTGATGCTTCTGATTTCTTAGCATGATGTAATCCTCCAGCCCAGTTAACAGCCATATGTTTGTTGTCAGTTTAACTTCATAGCACCAGCAACTGAGCCACCAGTTGAAAGCTGACAAAACGCAAAAAGTCCATCAAACACTGGACAGTCCTCTCCAACATTAAGTCTCGGCATCTGCTTACTATACTCAGACATGTTATCTGGTCTTATTGAACGTAGAAATTTGATGTACTCATCACTGTGGTATTTTGTCATTTCTTCAGCAGTGGCTTTATGGGGCCTATATATTTCCATTTCCATTTTTCTATATAAGCCGTAATTTAGCAGCAAGTTATGGGTCATGTGGATCTTATGAGGTTTCATGGGATGACCCTGTCCATAATAATAATTTCCAATATCACCATCATAGTAATAGCAGACTCCTTGACTGTAGGCCATGGGCTCCCCGGCCACTGCTGCCTCCGGCTCCTCATCTTGCTGCTGCTGCCACTGCTGCCTCTGGGGCTCCGGCGGGGAGAGAAGAGGGCTGGGGCGAAGGTGGAGGGTGGCAGTCCCGTGCGGAAGGGCAGGCCAGAGGGAGGAGAGGACGGGGGTGCCGGGAGGGCTGGGTACTGCCCGGCCGAAGGGCCGAGAGTGCGGACCAGGGGGTGGCAGTGGCGCCAACTCCTGGTTTGCTTTCTTTTAACCCCAATAATGAAGTGATTAAGACTATACTGTGGCTATCATCTATGGCTGATTCATGTTGATGTTTGACAGAAAACAACAAAATTCTGTAAAGAAATTATCCTTCAATTAAAAAATAAATTAATTAAAAAAAAAAGAGTATACTGTGTTCCCGTAGAGCAGGTATTTTAGCTGAATATACCTGTACCTTTTGGCCTGGAAATGGTCCCCCATTTTGTAACAATGGATTTATACTGAGGACGAAAATGACATTACAAGGAAGTCAAAAGTAACTAGAAGTGGTGATGCATGTAGTCTTTCTAGGTCCAGTTTGGAAAAAGATCTGGGGAGAAGAACTGGATGGGTCTGTGGATAGACGAAGGAGGAGGTCATTCAGGAAACAGTTTTGAGTTTTGTATTAAAGGATTAACTTTTGCTCAACTTGCTTAGGAGAGCTGTGGAGCATTGCTGCTCTGTTGCTCCTTCCATTGATTCTTGTGTCCCTGTGGGTCATAAACCACTTACCTGCTTATCTACATGAGCTCCCTGCTTTCACGTGCAAAGAACAATAACTACAAAGCGGGCAGAAGCTTCCTCTTGGTGCTCTGTGGGAGCTGACTCATGTTTCTAGCTATCTAGGCAGCCTGTCGATTTTACTGTCTCTCTTATTTTTACCATGGAGGTAATGAATGTTAAAATGGGCATAGACTACTTGTGTTGGTTTTCGAAGTGTAAAGATGCCAGCTTCTCACTAAGTAAGGATTTAACTTCTTAACTTTTGTAGTCATGTGGCACATAGTACAGTATCAGGCATGTAATATGCATTTTGATAGCTGAGTAGATGAATACGTGGCTGAATTTGCAAGTGAAGTACAACTATACCCCAAAGAAACTGCAGGTTTGGGTCCAGATCACTTCAGTAAAGGGAATGTGGCAATAATGTGAGTCACGTGAATTTTTTTATTTTATTTATTTATTTATTTATTTTTCACATGAATTTTTTGATTCCCCAGTGCATATAAAAGTTATATTTACACTGTTTTGCAGTCTATTAAGTGTACAATAACCTTATGCCTAAAAATGTTAAAAATACTTTATTGCTTTGTTGTTGTTCAGTCACTATAAGTTGTGTCCGACTCTTTGCGACCCCATGAACTACAGCACACCAGTCTTCCCCGTCCTTCACTATATCCTGGAGTTTGCTCAAACTTATGTCCGTTGAGTTGGTGATGCCATCCAACCATCTCAACTTCTGCTGCCCCCTTCTCCTCCAAAAAGTGCTAATTGTTCTCTGAGCCTTCAGTGACTCATGGTCTCTTTCCTGGTGGAGGGTCTTGTTTCAGGGTTAATGGCAGTCCACCTTGTTTTCCCACTAACTTTTGAAAAAAATTGGGTCAGTTGTCCTTTAGATTTCTGGGTTTTTCTATTTGCTTCCTGTGGTGCCAATTAACTTGGACCTTTATCACTTGACTTCCTTAATTGATTCTATCCAATTTTAACTTTTGGGGCAAGAATATTTCATAGATTATGCTCTTTGATCCATGTTATACAATGTCAGCATATAATATCTGGATGCACTTATTCTTAGTAATGCCAAGGTTGATCACTAGGTTCAGGTGATGATAGCTCAATCCCTCCTGTGTAAACTCCCCAACAATCTTTTGTATAATATTTCAATCCCTGATTATTGTTGACTGATTCTCTTGATGAGGGAATGAAAAGTAGTGACTTTATAGTTAGATTCTACCATCCTTTCCATGTTTATTGGATGGAATTTTGGGGGAAAAAATCCACTTTTCCTTATCAAATTAGGCTATTTGGTTGCTATTAAATATAGTTCATACAAGAAAAAAAGGATAAATGCTTATTTTTTCCTTTTGATAGTTTTCAGACCAAGGGATTGATGTCTTAAATATTCCTGATTATGTCCAGTAAGTTAGGTTTGGAGATTTATATTCTATTCTCTCTCATTCACATCTGCTCTCTAATATTATGAACTCATGGATGTTAATTATAGGCATACATACCTCAGAGATATTGTGGATTTGCTTTTAGACCACTGCAAGAAACCAAATATCACAAGAAAGTGAATCATATAAATTTTTTTTCCCCTAGTGTGTATAAAAGTTATGTCTATGCTATGCTGTAGTCTGGGCTTCCCAGGTGGCACTAGCGGTAATGAACCCTCCTACCAATGCAGGAGACACAAGAGATGAGGGTTCAATTCCTGGGTCAGGAAGATCTCCTGGAGGAGGACATGGCAGCCCTCTCCTGTGTTCTTGCCTGGAGAATCCCGTGGACAGAGGAGCCTGGTGGGCTACAGTCCACAGGGTTGCAAAGAGTCAGACATGACTGAAGGGACTTAGCACACACATGCCGTAGTCTATTAAGTGGGTAATATTCTTATGTCTAAAAAAGAAATGTATATACATTAATTAAAATGTTTTTGCTAAAAATCCTAAATATCATTTGGACCCTCAGTGAGTCATGGTGGAGGGTCTTGTCTCAGTGTTGATGACTGCTGACTGATCAGTGGTTACTAAAATTTGAGGCGGTAGTGGCACTTTCTTAAAATAAGACAACACTGAAGTGTGCCTCATTGGCTAACTCTTCCTTTCGTGGACGATTTCTCTGTAGTGCTGATTGATAGCATTTTACCCACAGAAGAACTTCTTTCAAAGTCAGAGTCAATCCTGTCAAATCTTTCCACTGCTTTATCAACTAAGTTTATGCAGTATTCTAAATCTTTTGCTGTCCTTTCAATAATCTGCACAGCATCTTCACCAGGATAGCTTTCACCTCAATAAACCACTTTTGTTGCTAATCCACCCAAAGCAACTCCTCTTCCATTAAAGTTGTATCCTGAAATTGCAGCAATGCAGTCATGTCTTCAGGCTTCACTTCTAATTCTCTTGCTGTTTCCACCACATGTACAGAGATTTCCTCCACTGAAGTTTTGAACCCCTCAGGCATCCATGAGAGCTGGAATTATATTCTTCCAAATTCCTGTTAATGTTGATACTTTGATCTCTTCTCATGAATTAAATATATTCTTGATGGCATCTAGTATGGTGACTCCTTTCCAGAAGGTTTTCAATTGACTTTGCTTAGATCCATCAGAGGAATCACTATCTATGGCAGCTATAGCCTTGTGAAATATATTTCTCTAATAATAAGACTTGAAAGTCTAATTTGGCCCATGATCCATGGGCTGCAGAATGGATGTTGTGTCAGCAGGCATGAAAACGATATTAAACTTGTACATCTCCATCAGAGTTCTTGGGTGACCAGGTACATTGTCAATGAATAGTGATATTTTGAAAGGAAACCTTTTTTTCCCCCCTGAGTGATAGGTCTCAAGACTGGGTTTAAAATAGTTAGGAAGTCATGTTGTCAACAGATGGGCTGTCATTCAGGCTTTGTTGTTCCATTTAGAGAGTTCAGGCAGAGTAAATTTAGCACAATTCTTAAAGATCCTAGGATTTTCAGAATGGCAAATAAGCACTGGATTCAACTGAAAGTAACTAATAACATAACTCATTGTCTCTAATAAGAGAGTCATTTTGTCCTTTGAAGCCAAGCTTTGACTTCCCTTTAGCTATGAAAGTCCTGCATGGAATCTTCTTCCAATGTAAGGCTGTTGCATGCGTGAGTGTTAAGTCCCTTCAGTCGTGTCCGACTCTGTGTGACCCTATGGATTATAGCCTGCCAGGCTCCTCTGTCTGTTGATTCTCCAGGCAAGAATACTAGAGTGGGTTGCCGTGCCCTCCTCCAGGGGATCTTTCCGACCCACGGATTGAACCTGTGTCTCTTACATCCACCTGCATCGGCAGGCTGGTTCTTTACCACTAGTGCCACCTGGGAAGCCCTATAAGACTGTTAGGTCTACATTGAAAATCTGTTTACTATAGCCAGCTTCATTAATGATCTTAGCTAGATCTCCTGAATAACTTGCTGAAGCTTCTACATCATCATTTGCTATTTCATCTGGCACTTTTATATCATGGCTACAGCTTCTTTCCTTGAACCTTGGGAACCAATCTCTACTAGCTTTAAACTTTCCTTCTGCAGCTTCCTCACCTCTCTCAGCATTCATAGCACTGGAGGTATTTAAAGCTTTAACCTGAATTATGCTTTTTTAAGGGACTGTTGTGCCTGATTGGATTTTCTATCCAGACCCCTAAAACTTTCTTCTTATTGGAAATAGGGCTGTTTTACTTTCTTATCATTTGTGTGTTCACTGGAGTAGCAGTTTTAATTTCCTTCGAGAACTCTTCCTTTGCATTTACAACTTGGCTAACGGGCACAGGAGGTCTAGCTTTCAGCTTGTCTCTGCTTTCGATATGTCTTCCTTGCTATGCTTAATTATTTCTATCTTTTGGTTTGAAGGAAAAGACCCGTGGTTCTTCATCTGAACAGTCAGAGACCACTCTAGGGTTATCATGTGACCTAACTGCTACATTGTGTCTCAGGGACCAGGGAGGCCTGAGGAAAGGACAAGAAACCAGGAACAGCCGGTTAGTGAAGCAGTCAGAACACAGAACATCTATCCATTAAATGGCATGGTTTGTGCATCTAAAACAATTATAATAGTAATATTAAAGATCACTGATCACAGATCACCTAACAAGTGTAATAATGATGAAAAACTTTGAAATATTGTGAGCATTAACAAAGTGTGACGGACATGATGTGAGGAATTGTTATTGAAAAAACAGCACCAATAGACTTGCTCACTACAGGATTGCCACAAACCTTCAATTTGAAAAAATATT